GTTCTAGAGTCTGTGCTATAAGCACAAGACTCTAATCTGCTGCTTCAGTAAGATAATTAGGTGAATGGGATGGTGTCTAACCCATACTGCACAACAAAGATTGAGAATAAGAAAGTTAATTCAGTAAATGTAGTTGATGAGAGGAAAGAAAATGAATTAATATTAAGAGAAAATACTTTCTTGTTACTTTTTAGAATGTCTTATCTTTCAACTACTATGTTCTCTTGTGATTGATTTACTGCCTGAGGTCTGGGCTATCTTATATGCCTAATGGGCTGGGGATTTAGCTCAGTGGTTCTGCCTCCTGGTTCACAAACACAAGGACCGGAGTTCGATCTCCGGTACCAAAAAATATCTTATATGCCTAAAGGTAAGCTGGCTGTCTTTTCCTGAGAAGCTGGAACAAGTTCTTAACAATTAAACCAGGGGACATTTAAAGGACACCAGAATGGCAGGAAATTTATTCCCTCCAGTTGAGTCATGCTCTGGGCCCTGGAGATAGAGATAAATCAAATCCAGTCAATGGTCTCAAGGAGCTCACAGCCTAGTTGGGAGGCAAAAAAATGGGAAAACTCCAGTGGAGCAGAATCTAATCTCATACAGGATGACCAGCTTAAAGATGGAGGGGATGATCAGGAAAGGCTTTCCAGAGGAGGAGGTGCATGAATCTGTATAGGGGGAATAGATGTTACTCCCAAACCTGATAGATAACCGAAAGGAGCATTTGTGTTCTCTAAAATTAAAGAATGAATTCTAGGAACAACGGACAAATTAAAAGTAGGACAAATTTATTGAGAGAAAGATAGCTTCTGTCTAAGAGAGACAGAAGGGGAACCAGAAAGAGGGTTGCCCGCTTACCTCACTTTTCAAAGGTGTTTTATAGGGCAAAGGCATGAGGTGAGGCGGGTACAAAGTGGGACAAAACTATAAAACCCGATGGAAAATTACAAGGTGGGCATGAGGTGGAACAAAACCATGATCAACCAATAAGATTACAAGTACAGTCACCCAGGTAATATTGATTAAATGGGGATCAAATAGGAAAACAAGTCATACACAAGGAATTTCCAAAAAGGAAATGGGCTAGGGAGATTGATGTCTATTTAGAATATCAATCACTGCTATTCATCTCTAGGGGAAGCAGGTAAATATAGTACCTCTTCTCTTTTTATAATGCTAACCAGTGAATGTGCCTCAATTGTTTTTCTGTGCTGAGGGCCCAGCTTTGTCTAACTGCCTTTGTAATGGGGCCAGGCAAGTTGGAACCATAGAGATGTTCCAGACTCTGAAGTAAATGGAATCTTTATATATATATATATATATATATAGTTTGTTTGTTTATTTGGTTGGTTGGTTGGGGGTTTTTTTGGTGCCGGAAATTGAACTCAGGTCCTTCTGCTTGCAAGGCAGGCAGAATCACTGAGCTAAATCCCCGGCCCTGGAATATTTTATTATAAACTGGTTGATTTAGAGTGGTTCATGCCTCTAAAAAGTCTGGACAAAAGAAAAAAAGAAAGGCAGTTTACAGGGTCCTTTTAAGGCCTCTTTTATTTTGGGAGGGCTCCGAGGGTGGGGGGCACAAGCGGAGTTTTACAGGAGCAGAACTTTGTTAAACTAGTGGGGATTGGGGAAGTTTTAGATAGTACAGTTAAAACAAAGTATCACACAGGTGGGGGGGTCTTCTGTTTACAAGGTAGTAAAGATAACATAGTTGTAGATTGTTCTACCAAAAGGTCACAAAGATAACATATAAGTTGCAGACTCACACAGGCATCCTGTTTACAAGGCAGTGAAGATGATGGACAGTCTTGCATTAACTGAGGGGCCTCCCAAGGGAAAAGGGGAAGGCGACCACCCAAATCACTCTACACAAATGGAGTTAGGTACACAAATCGAGTTAGGTACACAAATGGAGTCAGGTTGGCTATCACATTCCCAACTCCTCTAAGTACGATGACAAAGCACTGACACATCTGGAGCCTCTTGAGTGGGTAGGGGATTATAGTAGGTTTTTATGTACAGTAGTTTAACAGAGGCTATATGCTGTTTTACAAATTTAATTATCTAATTAAGAACCCAGGGTCTGATCAGGAGTCTAAGGAAAAGCAGGATGAAGACAACAGTGTATGGTCCTTTTTACAGTGGGGTGAGTCTTTCTGGAAGGCCTTGATGAGCCCGGTGTTTTTTGGCTGGAATGGGTGGCAGGGCACAGAGCTGGGTAACAGTAGGGTAATGTGTATGTTGGCGTGGTCAGAAGCCCATATCTGTTGAAAAGACTGAAGGTATTGTAAGACCGAGGGCCTTACCAAACACTCCGAGGAGCTGACTAGTGAAGCACACCCAGGAATCTCAGCGGTGTCTTCAGAATGTAAGACCAAGAGCCTTACCAAATGTTCCAGGGAGCTGACTACAGCGAAGAACACCCGGGAAGGAACACACCGGACAAGTTGGAAAATAAAACAGACCTTTACTAGTCTGGCCAGACGGCACTCCCAAAGCAAAATAGCTTAGAGAGGCAGCTAGCTCAGAGTCCAAGGCTGTTTTTATAGGGGGTTGAAGGGGAAGTTAACATATAAAATTAAAGAAAAGGGGACAAAGGTTAGTGGTCGACTGTCACGTATTGATGGTCAGCAGACATTTGCAGCTTGTTCTAAAAATTGTGGTGCCCGAAACTGATGTTCCGGGCAAACAAGGAGTTGAGTAGTTTACTTTGGGACTTTAGGTCTGTTACAGATTTTTATCTAGTGTCCCAAAACTAACAAACATCTTTATCTATTAACTCACATTTAATCACAATGGGGCTGGAGAAAAGGAACAAAGGTTATACAGTCCCACAGTATTTTAACAGACTGTTTAGAAGATTTTTTAGCTTCTCATTTGAAGGATGACCACAGAAGCAGTTTGGCCCACCTTTTACCAGTTTTTAAAATCAATTTGGTCAAAGTAGAATTTAGGGTCCAACTTATTCATTTTATTTGCCCGGAGTTTTGAGGTCAGTAGGCACAGCAGAGTTTTTCATTTATACCCAGTGTCTTACTGACTGAGTTCTAGAAGCTATAAAAGTGGTGCTGTTGTCAGTCTAATGGACACTGGTAACCCAAACCTGGGGATCAATTTTTGGAGCAGCTTTTTTATCACAGTGGCAGGTTTTTCCCAGAGTAGCCTAGACCTCTCTCCAACCTGAGAAAGTATCCACGAATATCAAAAGGTATTGATAGCTCGCCTGAGGCTTGATCTCTGTGAAGTCTATTTTTCAGTGTTTTCCTGGACTCATTTCCCTGAATTGAATTCCAAGGGGTGCAGAGGGGCCCTGGCAGAGATTTAATCGCACACAGGCTGGGTATCTAAGAGAGGCCTGGTGAGCCAGGTTTGTAATTTTGGGAAACAGTCTCTTGGAGCTAGGAGCTCAGCCATCTTGGGAGCCCTAGGTGTGTGACTGAATGTAGCTGTCGAATGAGTTGTTGCCCTAGTGTCTGGGGGAGGTAGATACACCCATCTGAACATTTTTATCAGGCTTGGGGGGCTTTTTTTTTTTGCAACTGGCTTGGGTTTTTTAACTGTAAGTGGGATTGGCCGGGAATAGAGGGGGAAGTAGGCCTATGGCTGGCAGAATGACTAAAGGAGATGACCCAGTCTGTGAGCCGGTTTTGTTTTTGTTTTTGGAGTAGTGGTGTCTTTGATGTCTCCAGATATGCATGACAGCCACCTCCTTGGGAAACAATATCACCTCTAGAGAGACAAGATCTCCTCTTTATTTTTGATGGGTTGGGGTTTTTTTTGTTGTTTTTTGTTTTGGGTACTGGGGATCGAACTCGGGTCCTTGCGCTTGCACAGCAGGAGGCGAAACCACTGAGCTAAATCCCCAGCCCGGTTGGGGTTTTTTTTTTTGCAGCCGATAAAAGCCCCCTCTCTCTGTATATACTGGTATGAACATGTAGCATAGCAAAAGCTAGAATGATCCCTTCTGGCAAAAGAAGGGCCTAAATAATTCGGTCAGCTGTAGTCATCGCAGCTGCCGCTTTTTGCATCCCATTTACCATCATACTGTTTTTATCTGTGAGGAGAGTGATGTTGACCTCTGCCAGGAGGGCATCCATCAGATCTGCATGTCTCTCCATTGGGTTTGGTCTAGCACCTCCTCAAAGTCATGAATCCGAAAGTCAGGATCATTGTCTGGCATTAGCATGGCCCAGCTGAAAATCTGATTTGTAGAAAAAACAATGCAAGGCTGGTCACACAAGAGGCTTTGCTATGGAGTTAAACATTTATCTGTTAGTAGCCCCTCTGAGCAGTCTCTATTGAGTGGGGGACCTCAAGGATCAAGTCTTGTCCCAGGGTCAGTTTATCAGCCTCCTTGACTAACAAAGCAGTGGCAGCTACTGCCCAAAGTCATGAAGGCCATCCTGAGGCCACACGATCTAATCTTTTAGACAGGTAGGCTATGGAGAACTTTCAGGGCCCTAAAGACTGTGTTAGGACCCCTTTGGCAACTTCTCTCACCTCATGGATGAATAACTGAAAGAGCTTGGTGACATCGGGCAATTCCAGAGCTGGGACTGATACCAGTGTTTGTTTTAGATCCTGGAACACCTTTTTTTTTTTCTTCCATTTTAGGTGTTGGTCTCCTCCCGTGGCAGAATGGAGGCATGGTGCTATCTTGGCAAACCCAGGTGTCCATAGGTGACAGTATCTAGATGTGCCCAGGAATTTTCATATCTGTTTTTTGGTAGTTGGCATGGGTATCTGGAGAATGGGCCATTTTTTGGCCTGAAACAGAGGGGGTTTTTTGTTTTGTTTTTTGAGATCTCATATCTCAGGTAAGACACTTGGGAGGGATAGAGTTGTGCCTTTTTGACCAAGACGCGGTAGCCCAACTCCCCTAGTAACTGAAGAAGCTCTCGTGTTTCTTGTAGGTATTTGGAAAGACTGGCAGCAGCTAGCAACAATCATCCACACATTGAAATAGGGTGAGGTTTAGGGTGGTGGAATCAAAAACTCACCAAGTCTTTTTGGAAGGCCTCACCAAACAGAGTGGGTATGTTTTTGAATCCTTGAAGCAGCCAGGTCCAGGTGAGTTGACAGGAATCATTGGAAGCCGGGCCGATCTGTTTGAAGGCGAAGATGGGCTGGCTAGCTGGGGCAAGAGGCAGACTGAAAAATGCATCCTTTAAATCTAGCACAGTATATATTTAGTTTGCTGTTTAGGAGACAGCAAACTCAAGAGAGTATGTGGGTTAGGGACAGTGGGGTGTAGAGTTATTACTTGCTGGTTAACTTTTTTTAAGTCCTGGACCGGCCTGTAATCTGATGTTCCTGGTTTTTGTACCAGCAGGAACAGAGTGTTCCATGGAGACTGATAGGGAGTCAATATTTCAAAGTCCAGCAACCTCTTGTTGTGAGGGGCTATCCCGGTCTGGCTTTTTGAGAGATGGGATATTGTGGAACTTGCATAGGTGTGGCTGTCGACAGAAGTTCAGCCAAACACAGTGGGTTAGTTTCTGCCCACACCTTTGGGACCTCACCTCAGAGTCAGTTCAATAAGCCCTCGGGACTTGTTTCCTCTGGGTTTTCTTTTCCCAGATGTGGGGAGGGACAGTACTCTGGCAGAGGGTTTATAGGGGCATTTATTTTTTTCAGTGGATTTTCTTTCTTTCTTTTTTTTTTTTTGCAGTAGACACATTGATTTTTGTCCAGTGGCAGGTGTCCTGGTTTTTAGGCATCTGCCCTTTGGGCTTTCCAGAGCTGGGTCCCCTCGGATGGCTGCCGCCAAGATCTTTGTTGATCTTGAGGGGTCACGGTTAAAATATAGGTTGTCTTTTAGCCCAGTTATCTTTGAGTTTTGATCTCTAAACTTTAGTTATTGAACACCCAGAAGAGAAGATCACTATACAATTTTGTTAGACATTAAAGACTTTTTGAAATATAAGGTATAGTTAGAGGATTGTTATTTTTATCAACCATGGTTGTCTTAGTAGTTGAATCTCTGTAGAATGTTAGCAGACAACAGTTATAGATTATATAGAAAAGCTTAAGATCAAGAGCCACACATAGTATTTTAGTATGACAATTATGATGACATTATCTTTGAAACATATTTAATGTCCATCTTAGCATGTAGTAGCTTTTAGTCAAACACCTCTATTTGATCATAAGACATTAAATGTCACATAGAAAACCCCTTATTTGTCATGCTTTAATAGTATGTCATCTAAAGGGGACATAGCCTATAAATGTACCTTAGAAGTTTATAACATTTAGCCCTTAATTTTAGGATGTTATATCATTTGGACTGCTCAGCACCTGAGCATCCCAAGTATGGTGACACATAACATATCCGTTATATAAGTTTTAAGAAATACTATTATTTGATTGATTATCTCATATTGGCTTACCATAAGTAGCTGGAACACAAGAGAAAGTTGAATACCTGGATCGTAAGGAGGTTATTACAATGAACAAAATGTTAGAAGACCTGTATAGTCAGAAGACATGAATACATTTTGTACACCAGAGAAGTAGCAATAATAATTATTACAATTATATGAAACCTTATGTCCTAGAATGTAGCTTGGTACCAAAAGTATCTTTTTTTTTTTGGCACCTTGTTGGGCTGGGGCTTTAGCTCAGTGGAACCACGCCTGCCTTGCAAGAAAAAGGTCCTGAGTTCGATCCTTGGTAACAAAAAAACCAAACAAACAAAATAAAAACACCTTGTTTTTTTTCCACTGAAAATTTTGTTTTAGAAGATGACCAATATAAACATATCACAGGGCCAGGGATTTAGCTCAGTGGTTCCACTGCCTGCCCTGCAAGCACAAGGACCCAAGTTTGATCCCTGGTACAAAAAAAAAAAAAATCACAATAACATATTTAGAACTTAACCTTTTGATGATAAACAATATAAGCATTTTATAATAACATTTAAGCAATGTTTATTGGGAGTATATCTTTTCATAAGGCTATGAAGATTATTGGGGCTTTCATTAGTGAACAAAGACCAGAAATAACTGCCTTTTTTTAACCTGTAAAAAGTAGATCGCAACAATTAACAAATTATCTGTAACCAAGGAGTTAGTGTAACTAAGGAGTTGTATGCAAGAACTGGATTTTACTCAAAAATTGACTGCAAAGATCTTTTTACCCAGGGACCTATAACACACACAAGGAACTCACAGGCTTTGCAAAGTCTGTAGCACAGATCAGGAAAACAGGACATGAGCTTCTCCTTCCACCTACCCCAGGGTGGAACATGCCAGGCTCCTGTACTCTCCGGTTTCCTGCCTGTCTCTGACAGTAATAGTGAGGAAAAAGTTAAAGGATTTGAAACAGGAAGAGAGAAGAAAGGAAAAAATGAAAAGCCTCTTGGCTAAGTGTACCAGAGTAGAGGTCTCCAGTCTCCACCCCTCTTTTTATGTGCTTTTATGGTCACCAAGGTAAATGTCACTGAGCTGGGTCTGAGAGGCCCCCGAGGTTGAGTAAGGAACCTATCCCACTCTTTAAAAATAGGTTAAGTAGGTTTGTTTTGGTTTTGGTTTTTTGGTTTTTTGAGACAGGATCTCACCATGTAGTGCAGGCTGGCCTTGAACTCACTATGGAAACCATGCTAACCTCGAACTCACAGCAATTCTCCTGCCTCAGCCTCCCAAGTGCTGGGATTACAGGAGTGCACCGCCATGCCTGGCTTGTCTTCTTTTTATTTAGTTTTTATTTCTTTTGTCTTACCTCACTGGTTGCACAATTTTGTGAGTATATTAAAAAACACTGAATTGTACACTTCACAGGGATGAGTTTTATGGGATGTTGAAAATAGATATGTATATATACATCTATATTATTATCATCTATATTATATACTTTTTGATATATTATATATGTATGTATACTTGAAGCAGAGAGATCAATGAGAAGACTACAACAATGCTTTAAACTGTAGGCTTCAAGCAAGGGAACCCATATCTCTGCAGGATCTTTAAGGCTTTCCAGGTATACACAAGCATGAGTAATTTTAAGAAAACCATTTCTCCCATTTATGTAAATACTTTTCCCTAAAATTAATTTTCTCAAGAATGTATCTGTGACTTCTCCTTCACCATAGCCTTCTCTCACTTTGAAAAAAAAAAGCTAAGCCTTTCATTTATCCTATTACTATAAGGGTCTTCCATGGGGGTAAAAATGGCTCAAGTAGGGCTGGGGATTTAGCTCAGTGGTTACGCCGCCTGCCTTGAAAGTGCAAGAACCCAAGTCCGATCCCCAGTACCAAAAAATAAGTCTCAAGCACCATTGAGAAGGATGTGTAGAGCATGCAAGGCTCCTGAGGGAGCGTCCCAAGACAGTAAAGCAAAAGTGTTTCAGTAAGCAATTATTAAACTGATAATTTAATGTAGATGAAATGAAGATGTAATTCCAACCTGCTATTTTTATCTACTGGCAAAAACGTAGGTGTCAAATTAAAATTTATGAGGAGGATTATACTTTTTCAAAATTCTTTTAGAGGCTTCAAGCTGAGGACGTAGCTCAGTGATGCCGTGCTTGCCTGGCAAGCACACAGTCCTGAGTTCCATCCCCAGTCCAGCAAAAAAAAAAAAAGGAGGCTTCTAGATGATAAACTCTAGAATTAGATTTACCTCAAAGTCTAGATTTAAAACCTTGGGTTCTTAAAATTAAATCATTATCCAGTTACTTGGGTGGTGGGTCAAGGTCTTATAGTTTGGGCAGCTCCTAGGTGATTCTAAAATGAAGTCAGTGTTGAGAATGATTGGCCTTCCGTGAATGTGTTTAGTTAATGACACCAAGGGAGAGGGAGTGATGCCAGCTTAATCCCAGGCACTGGTAACAGGAATTTAGAAAAGGAGGGAAGTGATTTGAGAAATCACCCACAGAATTCCTAGTTTGAAAGAACTTTGCAAAACTTTAATATCTGCTGAAGATTAAATTAGTAACTTACTTATGGCCCAATGAGAGGTACAGTTATTGTGATTTGGATGGTTGCTTGGTTGAAAGGGATGAAGGAGAGGAAGGTGCAGAGGATGACTCCCAGGTGACATCTATGGTCTCTGCTGCTGAGAAAGTACAAGAAAGGGAAGACAGGGAGTTGATTGGTGCATGTGCTGCCGTGACATAACAGTGGAACAGCCTGCCAGGTGGAACTTGCATTTGAGACTAGTGAAGAGGTTAAGCTTAGAAAATGTGGGCTACCATAAAATTTTGGACTCAAGATACAGGGTTCCCCCACCTCGACCTCCACTACAGCCGTAGGAGAGTTTGTCATCCAGTAAGAGAAGTACAGAGAGTACATAAATCAGGAGATGGTGGTGAGTAATTGAGACCAAAGCGACTCCATTTTGCTAAAATCCACCATTCCCCTAGCCTCTCAAATTAATGGTTAAAATGTGTTTGCTCTGGAACAGAAGATACAATCTGTGACAAACCAAAGTTCCTAAGTTAATTACTCAGCCGTCTGTTTGCCCAGGAAATGAACGTTCCGGGCCCCCTATCCATAGAACAATCTGTAGATGTGCTGACTGTCAGTACGTAATGGTCGTGACTAATAGTCAGTGTGTCTGCTGACCATCAGTACGTGACAGTTGACCACCAACCTTTGCCCCTCATTTCCCTCGTAAAACCTACATGTAACCGCCCCTCAACCCCCCCGATGCACCTGGCCAATCAAAAATGTACACTTCGTGCTTGCTAATTGTCAACCAATCACGTAACTGCTAAATGGAAAATCTCCAAACCTTGCTGTAACCTCTATAAAAAACCCCGCTAATTTAAAATTCGGGGCTCTCGATATTGATCCGCTGCGTCGGTGACAATTGAGAGTCCCTGCTCGAGCTTGAATAAACGACCCTCGTGCGTTTGCATCGGAATCGGCTCCTTGGTGGTCTTTGGGGACTTCGCGATCTGGGCACAACATAATTAAGCTATTTCAAACTTCAGACAGGAAATAAGTTTTATTTGACAAGGTCCTAGGTGCAGCTGTGGGAATGGGTGGCTAGAATGGAAGGGAGAGTTATCAGAATTGAGGAAGCCAAGGAGTAGAGAGGTCAAAGATCTGGATAGGTCATTCAGGTGAATGTTGAAGTCATCCAAGTTGTCTTAGGACTGTAATAGCCCTGCAGCTCTTAAACTTCAGAGCTGACCACAATCACATGGAAAGCTTGTTGTGATACAGGTTGCTGGGTCCCACACCCAGGGTGTCTGATTCAGTTGGTCTTGGTGACCCAAGACCCGAGGCCCACTTGAATCTCTTAA